CGACTGATTTTCATAGACAATTTATTTTCCAGCGCTAAGTCAACATAAAATAGCAAACTTACAACAATTATTGAACATTTCGGAGCTATGAGGAAGGGACACAAGCTGTGCGGATCTCACTCAGGCTGCGGCTGGGACCAGGCTCTGCTGAAGACACAGACCCCCGCTCTGCTTTTTCGGGGACGGCGGCGGAGCCCTTTCCCGGAGAGTTCCCGAGCATGAGCCGTCTGTACAGCGGCCACCTTCCTCCGCTGGGGGGTGAGGTGCCCCCCGCCGGGCCGCCTCTGGTCTACCTCTACGGGGCGGAGAGGACTTTGATGCCCACCCTGGGCTTTGCTTCCCCCGGCGTCCTCGCCAGGCAGGAGCCGCCTCAGAAGCCGCCGTACAGCTACATCGCCCTGATCGCCATGGCCATCGAGGATGCCCCCGACCGCAGGGTCACCCTGAACGGCATCTACCAGTTCATCATGGACCGCTTCCCCTTCTACCACGACAACAAGCAAGGCTGGCAGAACTCCATCAGGCACAACCTGTCCCTCAACGACTGCTTCGTCAAAGTGCCCAGGGAGAAGGGCAGACCCGGAAAGGGCAGCTACTGGACCCTGGACCCCAAGTGCCTGGACATGTTCGAGAACGGCAACTTCAGACGGAGGAAGAGGAAGTCCAAGCCTTCGCCGTGCCAGGACGGCAAGAGGCGCAAGGCGGAATGTGCGGAGAGACCCGGGGACGGACAACCTACCTACGAGAGGTCAGTTGCCAGTGGGCTGCATGGGGGAGCTCAGATGGAGGACAGTGACCCAGGTTGTCCCACAGAGGTCCTCTCCTCCTCTGAGGAGTATGGAAGCTTTGGAGAGCTGATAAAAGTTTGCAGCTCCCCAGATATGACCTCTGTCACTTTAATGAACAGTCCACAGACATCCGGATGTCCAGCTACCTCTCTCTTATCTGACAAGGGGACCTTATCTACAGCTCAGGATGAGACCAGAAGCGCCGGGATCTTCCAAGACAGCCCCCCCGCTGAGGAGGAGGACCCCAGGCAAGACCTGGGCCATGGCAGACACCTGGATGAAGATCCCAGCAGCAGGGTTCCGGGAGGAGCCGGCGGCGAAGAAGAGGGGGCCACCTCGAAACACCCCAAAAACTTCAGCATAGACAGCATTCTGAGCTCGCAAACCGCAAAAGGAGGCGGAGGGGCTTGGGGGCTGCCGGGGTTCTCCAAGGGGACTATGGAGTGTCTTCCAGGCACCTACAGATATCACCCCCTTTTCCAGAGCCCCGGTATGTGCCCCCTGTTTAATACCTCCGTCATGATTGACTCCCAGCTCCAGGGGAGGTTCTATCAGATTGGACTCCCAATCCTTTCCTATCTCCCCCTGGCTCTCTCAGAGTCGGCGCTGCCCAAGTAGACCAGCAAATGTGTGGGGGGAAGGGGGGTGGAAGAGCGTCACTGGCTCTCCAGCTGTTGTGAAACTACAAATCCCAGCTTGAAATCAAAGTTTTGACTCTTCAGCACTTGTCTTTAACGGGTCGCTAAATGCCCCTCTGTGGTTCTCCTTCCACGAGGCTTTGGGGGGCAACTACAAGTCCCAGCCGGTCCTCAGCAGCTGCAGAGTCTCCTCACTTGACAAACTGATATTTTCTTTAAAAACTTTTTTTGTGCAGTTTTTTGCCTTTTTTTTGTGACCATGTGACAACCCCCAACAGGCTCTGCGATTGCATTAAACAGAAAAAGTTGGCTAACCAGACAAAGTAACGCGTTTTGCCAAGTCTTTCAGCCCCTCGGATTGCCATGACGTCACCATGATCCATTCGCCCCCCACCCCCCCCTCCCGGGGGGGCGCGGCCATGTTGTATTATTCTGCGCAATGTTCAGAAGGTACCGTGCAGCTTCTATAGGCAACCGGACTTCTTCCTGCAGAAGTGTTGGAGTATTAAATATCGGGCACTCAACCCATCGCTGTGGCGCTGCTGCCGGTTACTCGGCAACGGCAGAAGGAGTTCAAAATGACAGAGACAAATTCCCTCCGGGTCCGGGGACGGCCGGGATCTGTAGCTCAGCAGCAGCCGGAGTGCCAAAACTTGCCAGATGCTGATTGTCGGCTTCATTCATAATTAAATGCTCTGCAGTGCTGCTGCCACTCAATCTATAGGATGCAACGCCGGCTGGGACTTGTAGTTCAGCAGCAATGAAAAAGTCTTTAGTGATTCTGCAGCACTATAAGCCAGGTGTTGTCCTAGAGTGGCTGAGACTTGTAGTCCCGCAGCAGCTGCCGCCAAAAGAGTCCGATTTCAGGCTGATTGACGTTCAGACGCGGACAGCTCCTCGGCCCCCCGTGGCACTACAACACCCAGCATGCTCTCTGCTTCTCAAAAGGCGCTTTACCATGCATTGCGCACTATGGAAGTGGCGGGAACCGAAGCGGCCGCATTGTAACGACGTACCTCCTACCACCCCGCAGGAAACGCTAATATACATTATTATTATTATTATTCGCATCGCACAGAAAAATCCGCATGAATATCTCCGGCCATGTGTCGAAAGTGCGAACTTATCGAGTTGTGGGACCGCATGACTTCCGGTTTCCTCACAACTACGAGGTTTGCACACAAAACATGTTGCGCACGAGCGCCATCCGCGGCATTGCCCGATAGACATAGAGCAACGCAATAAAGTAATAAAATGATGTAGGATGACGGTAAGCCGGCGCGTTCTTTATCTCAGGTGCCCCACTCAATATGGCCGCCGCTTGAGTGGGGCACCTGAGATAAAGAACGCGCCGGAAGTCATGCGGTCCCACAAC